AACGAACATCATTCAAAGTTGAATTAAGATGTGTTGGTATTTGAAAAGAAAAAATTGGGACACGGATGACTTTTTTTGCACATAAATAAAAATAGTGGGAAAATACCTTTCTACTGAGACCACATAAGTCTAAATCAGAATAGTTTTGGCCCGTATATTTAAGTTTTTCGTAAATTATTCTTTGAAAAACTCATTATTACGATCAGGGCGGCCAACTGTCCTTAGCTTTGAAGTGCCATTTTGGTGAAAAAAAAGTGCCAAAATGTGCCAAATAGAGAAACAAAGTGCCAAAAAAGGTGCCATCCTTTTTAATCCTTCCCATTTACCAATAAAATAAGAACTACATTTCTAAAACAAAAGTGCAATGCCAAAATAAGATAAACCAGTTGAATAATCTTTAGAAATTAGAAAAGTTTAGTTGAGAAAAATATGTAAGCGCAAATATTACTATTTTTTAAAAGTGCCATTTTGGCAGTGCCATTTGATGTAAAATAGGGCCAAAAATGGCACGGTTTGAGCCAAGTTGGCAGCCCTGATAACGATTCCGTTGAAAAGATTTTCAAATGTTTCTATGCAGATTTTCTAAGCCTAATCTGTTTTGTCATCTGAGGGGACCTTTTTCAAAAAGTTGTTTAAGAAACTATTTTTAGTCATAAAAAGCTTTATTTTTCGAGGTATTTTCAAATCGGTTCAGCTTGCTTAAATCTTAATATTTTTTCGAAATATTTTGGTGGACGTCTTAGAATATAATAAATTTTGTAATCCCGGCAGAAAAACCGCAACTTTTTTTGGTGATGCAGTCCAATGTACATACATTAATATTCACAAAAGTAAATATTTACGTAAGTATTAACACAATAACAATACTCGTAGATGTTTTGGGGGCAAATGCGGCCACGAGACCAACCAACAGAGATCATATGAGCGCGTTTAGTAAAATGGAATATGGCTATGACGTTGGCGATTGGACGTCATACGACGTCGCCTGCATTGTTTATGAAATTTTCTGTGAAATTTTTGAAATAGTTTACCTTGCGTTGGTAGCGATTTAGATAAACAAATGTTTCATTCGCAGACTTTTGGCGATAAGTTAAAAGCTGCTAGGGTCTATGGCTCACGTGAGAAAAGGCACGCTTTCACGCTTGGTGCTTCTATTGTGCCATTTGGAATCTATAAGTACTTTGGTAACTGTTATTTCATTGTTGTTGCATTTAATTATTTTGAATGGAATTTTTACTTAGACAGAATGAGTGCAATGAAATTGGTTATCAACATTATCAAATCAAGCGGTCATTTATCAATGTCATGCTAAAAAGTATCGCAAAAAGTTGTTAATCTAAATGTGAGTCAATAAGTTTGCAGGATGACCACCAAAAACATATGCATACATATATTTATATAAACTACATTCACTAATACAGACACATGTATGTATATCAAGAGTACAAAGTTTTGTTATCATCGCACGATAAGGTATACATACATATGTACCTACCTTAAGTCTATCGACTAAAAAACTCCCAATGCCAAGTAAATTTAAGTAGTTCGATTGGGACTTCTGCGGAAGAGTCGAAGGAGGTTGACTTTAATAGCATAAGCCCTGTATGCAGCTCTCAAGAAAACGTTCAAGAAAAAATTGCCATTATTTCGTGTGTGTGTCCAAGGAATTTTGACATTTTTGATACTTCACAGCCTGTTGCCTCACTCTTTCCTCAAGAAATAATGGAACGGGCATATATTTCTGTTGCAAACCTGGGTTGCCTTGTGCTCTTTTTTCACAAAAAACTTTAGAAAGCCGTAGTAGAGAGCGTAGTAAATTTCTTAAGAACTGCGTACTGCCTTAAGGAAATTTGACTCAAGAAAATTTCTTAGCCATTTCTTGTACGTCATTTTATATGGAGTTTTTGCTTTTCTTGAGAGCTGCATACAGGCCTATACGCGTAAAAAACTCGTGCATATGCTGCTATTAAATTATTTCGCAAGATATAACTCTGTCAGGAATCCTTTGCCCATCCAGGCCTCATCAAAGAATTCCTTGCAGTTTAGGTATTAATGAGAATAGTTCATTATGCGTAGTAGTAAAGTCAGCCTCTCCACTTTAGAAGAGCTGCTTGCGCCCCAGTCTTGATTGTGGGCGAAATTGGTAAAGAAGCTCCGAGCTCAGGAAAAGAAAACTTTAAATTTCTTAACCCTTGTGTGCGAAAATTGTAAATGTCATCTGATCTTGATCAAATTTAGTTTACACAATATAGCTATATTACTAAGCTCACCACTCATCTGCAATTCATTTAAATTAAGTTTCAATTAAGAGAGGTAACCATGTCCAAAAGTTGTTTGTTGAAATAGGTATTTACAAAAACACAATTACCAAAGAAAGAAGTACAACGATTGAACTCGTCGGGAACAAAAAAAAGCGATCAAAACATTGGCTACCTTTCAATAGATCGGTTATTTAGATTTAGGAATAGTGTGTTTAACTGGACTTTAAGCAAAGTTGGTAAATGTAAATTTTGACCGGTTTTTTATGCAAATACTCTTTGTGGGTCGTTGTAATGTTAACACTGAATTAATTTCAATACCGAACCTAAAAATAATTCAATGGAGCTTCTTAGTCCATTTAATATTTAACTGTATTTTTTTGAGAATTTCTTTTGTGCGGGATCTCCCTGCCGGGTAATTTTAAACATATATTTACTATTACGCTCTAAGCAACCGTATTACCAAAGTACATACATACATTAATACAGAGACAAGTACATATGTACATAAGTACTTACACATATTGCAAAGAGTATGGATCTGACTCTTTAGCTCTTCTGATATTGCTTAGATCAACAGCTTAAACAAATATTTTCGTGCTTGCTAAATAGTAGCTCTCGGCCCACCTACTACGACTCTTAGAGGTTACTTAAATGAATATGTTTATATGTAGGTATATTCGTTGGGCTTTTAAATTGACTTGATCCTTTCATATACATAAATGAATGAATGTTTGTAGCACACATCTGAAAAGTAGTGTCCAAGGAGCTTTGACATCTGATATTTTAGCTGCCTGCTGTCTCACTTTTTCCTTGCCAAATAATAGAAATGGCATATACAGCTCTACGTATTTTCTTTCATATAAAAAAAAATTCGCTCATACTTTGTATGGGGAGAATGCCTAGAGAAAAAAAAAATTATTAAGAATCAACACGATTTCTTTGCCACTCCAAATTTGTACATGGTTATACTAAGATAAAATTGGCTATAATATTTATAAAACTAAATATAAAGAATAAAAAAAAGCTGAGTGAAAAGTTCAAAATTTTGATGAAAACTCGTTAAATTTTCATTAATTTTGTATATAGTTTGAAACTTTGATTTATATGATTTTGTTTATGGTATGAACCATATATTTGTACAAAAATAACTAAAAAAATTATAGCTTGCGAAACTTTGTAAATATTTAAGAAAACAAGGGTGTACGCGTAAGGGAGTATCGTATTTCTGTTGAAAACAAGTGCGGTCTTGTGCTCTTCACAAAAAAAAACTTTAGAAAACCATAGTGGAAAACGCAGCATATTTGTTAAGAACTCCGTTTGGCTAAATGAATTTTTCTTGAGCGTGTTTTTTTTTTTATCCGTAAAGAAATGTTTACAAATAATAACTTAAAAACAGACTTGATTTTTATTAACTCGTAACTTCAATTGCATTTCCGCTTGGATACCAAAATTTAAAATCAAAAAAAAAATTCAAAGGACTAGCGCCGATTTCTATTATTTTTTTTTTCGTGGTTTTCCGTGCATATTTGCAAGCATATTAACTAATGTTTTAGTGCTTATATGAGCGCTTAAAACTGTTTTTTTCTCGTTTACTCATTAGTTTTAGTTTGTAGAACCGGAAATAATAAGTAAAAAAACTCATGTATTGTATTCTAGTGGAAGAAAATAAACATTTTTTCGTACATACTCTCGACTTAAGGTTCAGTTAGTCTAGACTTAATTTACTTAACGTAACCTATTTATTATAAGTTGATGTATTGTGTACTCATTGACGATTTCTTACGTAAGTTAAGTCTAGACTAACTGAACATTTACTCTGTAACATATGCGAGATTAACACAGAATGGGGAGGATATGTTATGAAAGCTTTTTCAGTTTTTCATGATATATTGCGGAGTGAATTCGAATATTTTATGGAATATCAGCTGTTCACAACAATTATATATGTATGTATACAGTAGTCACAGTGGTGGTAAATTATTACTTGTAGAATGTCCAAGATAGATATTTATTAGTAGGTTAGTGGGAGTATAATCAGATGCGAAATAAGCTCCTTTGATCTGGTGCTGACATCCTGTTCTCATTTCGTACAAGTTTTATAAAGTTATTGTCATTGTTCTTTCACATACATATGTCATATTCTCAGTTACTCATATACTTGGTACATATGTATGTATGTAGATACGTAGAGCTTTCTACCTCTTTTTGAAAACGTGGCTTGCGCTGAGTGCATTTACAAAATTTTATTGGTACATTTGTACGTAATACCTATGTATGTACATACATATGTGCATAAGGTATACTGATCCACAGATACCCGAACACTTTTGTTTATTCATGGGCATTAACCCACACGTATGCACAAGCGCCTTTAAGCTGTAAGCCTCGCTCATTCATACTACATATGTATTATGCAAAAACTATGCTCAGCCACCTAAGTGGGTGGTTAAGTCGTTGATAAAGGATGCAGAGTAGTTGTCGGTTGCAGTTTCGCTATTGCAGATGGTCATTGCGTGAGAATCTCTGCTAATTGTTTTACGCTCCAGCTGCATTGGATCAAATTGCTCAGTTTATATTCGTTCTCAGGCTTATAAGATTGCTCAGGGTGAGAAATGCTGGCTGGATATACTGGCGGCGATTGTGGATGATGGCTTGGTATTGGTAATTTCTGTTGCTGGACGCTTGTATCGTTGGATCATTGGCCGGTTGCGAGTGGCGTACGTGACTCTGGTATTATCAGTGATGTCTGCGGTGTTGTTATGAGCACCGTTGCGGATCTTCAGAAATCGTTCTGTTTCGCTTGCCTGTAGTGTCATCGTAGTCGTTCACGTTATTGTTGGTTGGTTAGTATGTAATATTTTATTTCGTTTGGAGGTAATTTGATTTTTAATGACGCTTTGCTTACTGCAGCCAATATTTTTGTTATTATTGTTTTGTTGCCAGTTCACTGTTTGCCATTTCGCGCTAAACAAGCGAATTTGAAACAAACACATTTTGGATCCATTCAGTCTTGTGTCATTTTGATGATCATAAATGCTTACAATTACAATAGATTCAATATATATTTTACAACAGCATGCATGTACCGTAAGTATCCGGCTTGCATGCATATGGAAGTATGTATGTACTTAAAACATAGATACACAATTGGCGAGCTAAAAAAAATTAGTAAAACTGTTAATTTCTTACACAACAGTTATTTGGTTAAACAACTTCAAATTAAATCTAATTCTAACGATCTGAAATCGGTTTTCGAAATCAGTATACCAAAAATCTAAGCGTGTTGAGAAAAAATCGATCCTCTTGCTTCGCTTGTTCACTCTCCAATTGCGCGTGCATATAACTGGGTTAGACTCTTGGAGCATCTCCAATATTTACGCTGGGTTCGTTGGTGTCCAATCTCCCTCTATTTTGTTAAGGGATACCTCGAGTTGCAACCACCTTCCGGCGAGCTCTTTGACTTGGGCCATTTTATCGATCACTGCCTTGCGATCACAGCAAAGTAGCAAGTCTAGATGCTTTGTCACTTTTCGGTGCCGTTACTGGTACTTCCTGCACCAGACGTTGGCACCTACCAATCTGTGCTTTTCCGTACGATTCAAAGTCAAAATCCAGAATTATTAGTGTTGCCTATAGAAATTTCTCTTACTCCTACAGGAAGTCCCTCTTCTCTGATCGACGTGGTGGCCAGTTGACGATCAGTACGTCGGATTTAGACGGTGGCTTTGGAGACGTTTACTCTGGGGAAGTTCTTAGTACTATTGCAAGCCATCAAGCATGACACAGCAATCTGAACCGAAGCTGTTGGCTGGGCGGTAAGATGACTGCTCGAGGGAAAAAACGACCTCCCTGTTCATTAAACTTTTGTGAGAGGAACTAGGCTTTGAAGTGTTGGTGGTGACTGTGGGAAAGCTGCTGCGTACCTTTGTTGTTTGCTTTCTCTGCCGTATAAAGCAAACAGGAAAGGGGTTTGAACACGAAGATGTATGCATATGTTACTAAGGTTACTTGGAATAAAAAATTAGAAGAGATTTTTTTTATTTTTATTTTTTTAACCTTCAATAGGGCGCATAAAAAACTAAAAACGGAGATTCACTACATTTGTATAAATAACTAAGAAGTATTGTCACACGGTGTGGTAGAAGGCATGCTTATCGAATTTGGCAAAAAAGAACTTTTTCTTCTGAATTAAAAAAAAAACCCAATTAATTCACAGGTTTACAAAAAAAAAGTTTATGCATATTAAACTAAACTTATATATTCCTATGTTATTCGACACGCTGAATGCGAATCCGAGGTCCGTTAGCCCCCATCACGTCAGGTTCGTGGTCTGTTGAAGGTCAAGCAGTAAAAAACTCATTGAATAAACCTGAACATTTTTTGTTTAATATGCATAAACTTTTTTTTTGTAAACCTGTGTTATTATTGTATTATTATTTTAATGCTGAACTTTAGGGATTATTTCAATTATTTTTACATATTCCGAAGCATCTTAAGATGAAAATGAATACACCCGTGCATATGCATGTACTACACATACTTATACGTATGTAACTTCCCTGTGGGGAAAATCTCTAGTTCTGAACTGGTGCGCTTCTAGTACATTTAGACCCGCTACTAGTTCGCGATAAATCTCTTTTACATGCAAACAACTGGCGAATTTAACACGGCGATGTCATCGGAATTGGAAATCGTCCACCGCTGCATTACCTTTTCTATAAAATCGACAGACGAAAAAAGTAACAAGATATTTTTAAACAGTCTTTCTGGTTTTACCATGGTAGCGATTTTTAATTATTTACAAAGAAATGTGTTTTCAAGCTAAACTCAAATTTGTTTGAATGAATGTAAATGAAATTGGGCAATTGAAAATACATTTACATACCTTTGATTGTAGCTGAATTTGCAGAGGTTCTGGCTGTTATTGGTTAGATTCCCAAAATGTTAGAACGTTAACACAAATTTTAGTTTTGTATTACCAAACTATGAAAAAGCATCTGCGAAGTGCAGACTGAAAGCGTATTTAAACGAAAAGCCCGCCAAGCAAAAATCTATTTAAAGTAAACAAGCCCCCCGCTGCATCAATATTTCGGTCGTTCCGAACTAGTTCAAAATTCGCCAGATAAGATCTAATTTGTTCTGCATCCCTTTTTCTATAGTTTCGAACCAGTTCTAAATTCGTCATTTTAGATATACATAGATATCTAAAATTAAAATTGTTTTTTAAAAGTACCTCTTCTCGTTTCTTTTGAACTGGTGGCGATCTAGTTACTATCGGACTGGTTCGTTTTTGGCGATAAAGATCTAGTACGGAACTAGAAATTTATGTATGTATGTATGTACATATGTACATTAAGGTAGGCTGAAAATCACATTCTATAAAAAGTCGATTGCATTAATATTCAAATGCCTCCATATCTGAAGAATAAATTAAGTCGAAGTATTTTTTCATACTTTTTCAAATTTTTTTCTAACTATACACAAACTTGCCAAAAATGCGGCACACCGCCAACAGTCATGGGTTTGACAGCATTTTTATCGATTTGCGCTCTTTCATTTGGTAGTAACTCCTTGCAATTTTTATTTCTGAAAGTGGTTTTTGTGACTTTACAAAAATGGTTTTTTGGTGTTTATAAGAGAAAGTACACTTTCGCTTTCGCAGCAAAATGCATACAAAAAGCGGTTGCATTGCTATGTTTAACAGCACTTTATCGTATATGTATGTATGTATATACAGTGGTCCACAAAATAATAGGAGTGCGTTATTTTGGTCAGTTTTTGCTATTTGTCTTTTGTTTATTTAATGTTTATTATTTTTATACAAAAGTCAAGCTGGGTATACAACAAACAACGAATAAATTCAGATTTCAACCTTTGTACAAAAATTATTAAAATTCTGTAAATTTTCACCAAAATATCAAACTTTTTAATCAGAATCTTCAGAGAAAATTCTGGTATGCAGTTTTATAGCCCATTCAATTCTAGTCCGAAGAAGTGCAAGTTTCAAGCTGCTAAAAAATTCCGTTGATTTTTGGCAATTTTTTTTGCTGGCACTGTCCCCATATAAAAGAAAATTGTCGAACATACTTTGTATGGAAAAAACGTGAAACACCTTCAACCGAAAAAATTCTCAAAAATCAACGGAATTTTTTAGCAGCTTGAAACTTGCACTTCTTCAGACTAGAATTGAATGGGCTACAAAACTGCATACCAACATATTTTCTAAAGATTCTGGTTAAATAGTTTGAAATTTTGGTGAAAATTTGCAGAATTTTTATAATTTTTGTATAAACTTGAAAATGTTTATTTTTATTATTATTATTATTTTTATTTATATGGTGTTTGTTGTATTACCAGCTAGGCTTTTACAAAAAAATACGAAACATTAAATAAACTAAAGACAAATAGCCAAAACAGGTTAAAATATCCCACTCCTATTATTTTGTGGACAACTGTATATGTATATGAGTTACATACATATGTATGTATATCTCAACAAATACTTATGTATGTATGTTCGCATATGTATATAGTCATACATATGTGCATATAGAGCATGTTTCATGTTACTGTATGAAAATTCTTGCATTTTTAAGGAAAATTCGACTTTAATTATATTACTGAAAAATCGAAAGAAATTTTCCATCATCCATCAATTAGCATTTGTTTGCATTATTTTATTTTATTTTTGCATCTAAACATTCGGCTTGAACTTTAAAGGAATTATGTATACATTGCATCTGCTCGATCGTTATGTAAATTTAATTGCGTGTTGATTTTGGTGTTATTGCGAATACATGTCTGTTAGAACATCAGTTGCATTCGCAATTTGAGATGAGCTTGCAATTGCTGCGCAACAAGATGTAAATATTTTCGTTTACAATCCTATACGCAAGCGCTGACTGGCAACTTTCGAAGCCTACCAATTTCAATTAAGTTATGCAAATATTTATTTGTTTTGCCCATATAAGTATGTACGTATTGGTATTTTGTTCGTTCAGAACTCAAAGGGAAGTCTTCTAAACAGGGAGCAAATTTCTGCATTCTCTGCAATTCCGCGGAAAAATTTTAATGAACGCAGTTTTCGCTTCTTTTTTATTTAATCATCTACATATATCTGAGTCGAAGGATCCATACGCATGATAGCAAATGTGGTTGATTATGTCGACGCCAGTGGCGAATCGAAAGCGGCCTGTATAAAGCTCGTGCAGAACGCCACGTCATCTTCTTCGGTACTCGTCACGCGCGTCAACACTGGCCAATAAAACAAATGGCACAAAAGGGTGGTCAAAATTACGTACAGTTGTGAAGCTGGTTGTTGTTGTTGTTGCAACAGCATACAAATTCCCCAAATAGTTTTTGGGGAGTATTCCTGCGGTGACAGTCCTTCGCCAGATATAAATCTGGATCATTCCGGTTACGTAGACCCACAGTCGTGAAGCTGATGTGATGCCTATTGCTCAAAACAGCCTCCCCTTAAAATTCACACCTGACTATAGCAAGCTTAAGCAGTGTTTGCATTATTCAACTTTGCGTTCAACTCAACGCAGGGTTGCACGAAAAAAAAGTTGAATGGCTAAATGTTGGCTGGCGACCAACTTTGTTGAAAGCGATTAGTTGAAAGGCCATTCAACCAAAAGTTGAATGCAAAGTTGAACAATGCAAACACCTTTTTATGGCGAATATTTTGATATTTTTTCATATTTTGATATTTCGTGCAACCCTGCGCTAAGTTGAACGCAAATGTTGAACGCAAAGTTGAACAATGCAAACACACTTTTAGAATGAAAAAATCGAAAAAATAAAATCAACAGCATCGCTATTTTGCTATGCTATACATTCATATGTACATTAGGGTGGTCGAAAAATACGTAGTAAAATCAGATTTTTTCGAATTTTCTGTAGAATCGCTATAAAATCGTTAAAAGTATATAAATATTTTTTGATCGAATAAAAATATTTCTCTTCAGAAATGTTCAAAAATTAAAATTATGAGGGATATTTAACTTTAAAAATTAACCAACTATTTTTTTTAACATGCCTGATGTATTTACTATTACATAAAATAACAATTTTTTTATATAAAAGAAATTTGATTATCGGTCATGAAAAAGTAGTTACCAAAATATTTTCAGTTCAATATGCAGGGAAATAATCTTAATCGAGCTAAAAATATTTGTTTTTAACGGTGTAAAATATATGTAAAACTTCAAAGCCGAGGCGGCACTGGTTAATATTAATCGATTACTTATGCGCAGATGTAAATATGTGTATACAAATCTTTTAGTTCAACTAATAATTTGACATATGTATGTACTTGCAGGTGTACGCCAGCTTATTTAAGCCACTCCGCGTGACGAGGCATCAATTCAAAAAGATATTGAATTGTATGAAACTAATACGATCGTTGAAGTACCAGGAGGTGTATGCACAGGAGAAAGTTACCAAAGTTGATAGCTTATCACTCGTACTGTCTGGGAAGTAAGTAAAAATATAGGTTATATAAATACATAAGTATGTATTTACAATAAGGTGACCCTTAAATGTAGGAGTCAAATTTTTACATCAGATTTCCTAAGCCTCAACCCCTACTTCGATGCTACTATTGTCGAAGATATCAAATATAAATTTTGGTCCCGATTGGAGAAGGTTAAGGCGTGTCGCACAGGGGGCAAAGTTCAGATTACCCTAGGAAGACGTCTTAACCGACTCCAATCGAGACCAAAATTTATTTGTGATATTCTCGAAATTATTAATATCGATTTTGGCGATTTTGTGACACGCCTTAACCGTCTCCAATCGGGACCAAAATTTATATGTAATATCTGTGACCGTGGTATTACTGTTTGAGAGGGTGAAACAGAAAAAAATCATTAGTTTAATTTTTAAGTACCACCCCCCCTAATGTACAATATGAGTCCTAGAGTGGACTCAGATGTATGTTGTTTTCGCTCATTTACCGAACAAACATTTAGTTTAGAGCACGATTAGAAAACCCGATATCGAGAAAAAGTTTAAATATCTAATCGCCTTCTAACGTTGAATTCTAATTGGTTTCTAATGTTTTATGTTTTTCTAATCATTCCTTAATCGAATTCTAACATAGTTATTTAACCTGATTTGCGATTCAAGAAACTTTAAAAAAGAAAACACGTTAGAATTCTTATGTAGAATCAATTCTAACTGTATATATATATATTTAGTACATATATTTATATATAATGTTTCACATTTTCCTTTTCAGATTGGTTGTATCACAGAACCAAAGAGCTTTGCATATAGTATTTCCTCATCAGTTCCTAGATTCGCCCGAATGGTTTGGAGTCTCTACGGACGATTATTTTCAAGTATGTACTTAAATAGGATTAAGAAGGATTTTTGAATTTGCATCCCTCCTTTACACATTTTTATTTCTAAATCTTCACAGGTATCTATAATGGCTATGGAAGAGTCACGTGTTCTTATTTGGCATCGTGACAAATTAAAATTATCTATAATGGCCGAACCGTTTTTACAATCGGTCTTCGATCATATTTTGGGGCGGGATGTCGTTAAAAAGCTAATGCAAGTAACTCAGGTTGGTGCCATAACTGTGCTGCTACTATATACATACATATATATGTACCACTTCATTTGTCTTCCACTTGATGCTAGGTGAGTGAGTCTATAGCAAGTAACGGGTTTTTGCCATCGGGCAATTATGACGATGCAGAAGACAAACCAATGTTGATTATGAAGAAAAATGTGGAAGGTCATGGACTAACGGCATTAATAAATCGCCAACTTCAAGGTGAGTTTCCAAATGATATACATACATATATATGTACCTACTACCTAAATAGATATTTTGTTTTTGTTTGTGTGTTGTGTGAAAAAGGTAGAAATCTAGATTTATAGGTCGATAAGTACGTTATGGAAACAGGGGATATTAAGTGGAGAATGTAAATTTGGAAAACTGCATATTTAATGAGACATCTGTTGGTCAATACATACTAATACTCGTACATAAAATCATACTATTTAACATAGCGTTACTAACCGTAGATTTGGTAGTGCATTTCGAATGCTAAGAAGTTTTAATTGTTTATCTTCGTACTGGCAGAACGTTACTAACTACTTAAGGATACATGTGTATATGTATGTGTATGTAGTATTGGTTGTTGTCAATGCTGAATGCCTTTGATTTATTTCTGAAAGTTAGTATTGTTTTATTAATATACAAATTTAACGGTATAGCGAAACAATTTTTTTTTTCGTATATATATACATACATACTTGTACATACATATTTACATACAAGGTTTGTTAATTATATGCATATAAAGCACCTCTGTAAATAAAGTTTTTTATTTTCTTATTTTAATTGTAAGCGGGAAGATAGGCAAACATACATATCATATCATATACCTTAATGTAGAAAGGCTTTAACTACCTAAAATTTTTTATTGCATAAAACGATGTGGGGACTTACCTATAATTCGATGAAATGCATCATAATCAATCAAAAAGTGAATTTTGGATTTTTCGTTAGTTACGGCCTTTTGTATTGTAGCGACGATGTGCGATAGGGCCTTTCTATATTAATGTAACGATACGTAAGTAATACAATTGGGGTATTCACAACGGTGTCGTAAGAGTCGTATTGCTGTATGTCGGAAACCTTAACGGTTGCGAAAAATCATAACATGAATTTTATGATACATTACGAACCTCCTAAATATATTAGGTGCAATCCCGTATTCCTCGGACTCGGACTAGTAAAACTGTCAAAAAATAAAAATTCGCTCAGAGCGAGAGAGTAACATTGAAAAGTACGGGATCGCTTTCTAGTAAAAATTGGTAACTTCTGTCAACTTCAACATAACCTCCAAATTTTGGTTGTAAATTTTTGCTTATTTTGTATGTAAACACACTCATCTCACAAATGTAAATAACCAAAAATACTTTCAAATTCATTAGAATCCGCTTAAACAAGTAATTAAATACTTTTCAACATGAATTAGCAGATTGAACTTTTCTTTTGTTTGATTCTGACTTTTTCTGACTAGTCCGGACTCGTACGGGATCGCAACTATTTTTAGCCGTTTCAAGTTTACCACATACAACAATACGACACTTACGACACCGTTGTGTATGCCCCAAATGTATATTAACATAACTTAATAGTGAAATAAGCGCGGACCTTTACACGTTGACGATGGCGAATACCGCAGACGATTTAACGATGAGCTGTATGAGCTTTACAACGATATATGTAGACATAGTGCAGCGTATTAAAACTCAGCGGGTCCGCTGGCTTGACCACGTCGTTCGAATGGACAGAAACTCTCCTGCTGTGAAAGTATTCAGCGCGGGCTGCGGTACTGGTAACAGAGGAAGAGGAAGGCCTCCTCTGCGTCGGAAAGACCAGGTGGATAATGTCTTTGCATTTCTAAGAAGAAGAATAGTGAAATACTCTAACTCTGTTAAGAAAACCTGTTTTACGAGTATTACATGTGCCAATTGGAATAAGAAATAGTTTTTGACATAAAGAAAGAAATGTTATTAGAACTTTCGGGGATTGCTTAATCTTTAGTAGGTAGTAGGGTGGTCCTTAAAAAATCAAAGTCTAAATATTGATATTTTGCTCTTTGTACATTAAGGACTTCTACGAAAGTTTCAAAAATTTTAAATAATTTTTAGGGTTCGTTACTAAGACTAAAAAAATTTAAATCCACTAAATTTGAGATATTCGGGCATGTGCTGCAAATCGTACGAATTGAAATCTTTGCGATTTGCAAACCCTACTTTGGAGATTTCTTAACAAAAAGGCAAAATTTGTCACTGAATCGATGGATATGACGCAAATGATGTGTTTCTCGCCATTTGCATTTGAAATAGTTATTACCTTCCTTACAAATATTCAAAAAGAGTTTGCAAATCGCACCGATTTCAAATCGTACGTTTTGCAGCACATGCATGATAATTGAAAACTATTCACGTAATTTCATTAATCGCCAGATGAATTCTTTTAACATTAAGCTCAAAAGACTGTATTTTTTAGTACTTTTCGGCAAAAGTGCAGTATTTTTCAAATTTTTCTCAAGTACTAAGTAACACCAGCTTATTTATTGACTTGAAAAATACCAAGAAACATTTTATATGGGGAGTTAGTACGGACTGTCTCAGCCCAAAACGCATTTACAATTATTTTTTTCTTATTTTCTAAATTTTTTGTGGAGGTCCTTATTTTGCACATAGAACAAAGTAAAGCGGTGCCCCATACAAAATTTAGTAGGTTGTCATAGAATTGAGGCGTTTGCTCTTCTTGCGCCTATTTTTTAGCCTAAAGATCAAAAGTAAAGTATTTTCTTAAAATTGTCACGATATGTGCACGTGGAAGTATACTTTTCCAGTTTTTTTTAGGAAGGCATATTTAATATTTTGAAATGATTATAACTATAATTATAAGTAAACGTATTTCTGTGGATGTATGTATGTACATATTTATGTATATTTTGGAATATCACGTTCTTCCTGAAAACAATCGATATACGTACATACATACATATATTAATTTGAAATTCTTTTCATTTATTAAGTACCTGTAAGTTGGTGAAGATAATATGTACTTCGTTTTACATTAAATATTCTCGTACATATGTACATACCTATATGTAGTGTATATGCATCTGAATATTTTATAGATATTATTTATGCACATAATAGACGCGCGGTCATATGTATATTTTTAAATGCAAAATAATAAAAAATTTTAAGTTTCGTTGTTCTGGATTTTTGCAATCATTTCAGCTTACGTACTCATCACTTAGCCATACACTTTTAATATATGCACCTTGGACCCTACCATCTTACTAGCAAACAAAAAAATTTCGCCGTACACCCCTGAGTCTAGGGTAGTTTTGACAGGCAATTTAAAATTTTTATTTTTTTTTTTACTTTTTTACAGAACTCGGTAGTTCTACTGGAATAATCGAAATACTTCCTAAGCAAAAGTTTAACGACTTTTGGAGAGCTTTAATTTACTGACATTAGGGTGGTACGTTAGGCTGGTAAGAACTGAGATCTGGTGGGTGCCTACGAGAACGGGTACTTGAGGTCAATGAGCTTTGGGGGAAAAATTGTCTCCTCGCGACACGAACATCGATATTGTACTTATTATACTTTAAAAATTTTTAAAATTTTTTTTATGTTTTTCCAAATTACCTTGCACAAGTACTTTAAACTCAAGGGTCTGCGCCAAACTTTTTCCTGGTATGGTCCAATGTACATATGGATGTACATACATATGTAAATATGCAAAAATAACCAGTTTCATTTGAGTATGCGTGCACATAAAGCTGTATGTTTATTTATGCAAATATATGATTTTACTTGTACTCATATCCTATATTTTTTGTTATTTATTCTTTATGTTGTTGTTCTTTTTTT